AGTTGAGCAACGAGCCCAGAGAATAATGAAAGAGGAAACTAGTGAAGACCAAGAAGAAACAGTCATTATTAGGAAGAGAACTATGAGAGGTCAGTGTTTTAGAAGCTAGGGAAAAGCTAGACCAGCCAGAAAGGGAGGTGACCATGTCAAAGGCTACAAAAGCATCCAGGAGTTTGGGGAAGAAGAGGTAATGAAGAGATCATCACTAACCTTGGACAGAGATATTTCATTGAAATACTGGGTACGGAAGTCAGTTTTCAGTAGGGTTGGGAGCTATGGGATCTTAGCTCTAGATCTGGAAGAAACCTCAAAGGGCATCTTGGTCCAACCCTCTCATTTTACAGCTGAGCAAATGGAGACCCACCTAAGGAGGTTCAGTGACCTGCCCAAGGTCACACGAAATAAATGTTGGAGGAATGAAAAGAGGTTGAGGAGATGGAAAGGCTGAGTGCCAATACTCTTTTAGGAAGTTCTACAGTAAAGGAAAGGAGAGAAATGGGATCACAGGCTCATAGTTGAGAGCTAGAAGGGACCTTAAAGGTTATGTAGTTCAACTCTCTTATTTTACAGCAGAGTGAACTGAAGCCCAGAGAGGTAATTAACCCAAGTCTAGTAAACAGAAAGCCTGCGATTTAACTAAAATGTGTAAGAAGTCCAGAGGAGGGTTTAAATTGATGTTTGATTATTTTCCAGGTTAGAGAGAATTAAACATGCTTGTATGTAGAAGGAAAGAAGCTTAAGGAGAGAGGGAGATTTGGTGATGGGGAGGGAAGGAGGTAGGAAGTCTCCCATCTCTCACAACTTCCCCCCTTCCCCACCCAAGACACCAAATCTGACCTGCAAAAGGAAGCTTTTTGAGATAGGGAGGTTTGAGTGAGAATTCGCAACTTCCCTTAATGTCCCACATTAAGCCATAGTTTATCTCATGTCACCCATGTCGTGTCCACCAGGGATAAAAATAGTCACTAAATAATGTCAAGACTGAAAGCAAAAATGAAATGAAACCCTGAGAGCCAGCACAGAGAATGAGAGAGTGTCGTCTCAGTGTGCGCACTCCGCATGTGCAGTGGTCAAATTCAAACTCTGAAAAGTCGACATGTTGGTGCAGAGCAGGCTGAACTTTTACCTTCTACCTTGAGGGTCTAGAGCGGGAATTCTTTACCTAGAGTTGATGGACCCACAAAGGGTCCATGAATAGATTTTGGAGGGTATATGAACTTGGATAGGGGGAAAAAAACCACTTGTTTATTTTCATTAACTGAAATTTAGCATTTCCTTCCATTTTGGATCTTTAAAAACAAAAGCAAAATCTTTACACTTGGAAGAGGGCGGTAGGCTTCATCAGACTTGTGTAGGAATGTGTGATAGAAAAAAAGGTTAAGAATCTCTGACCCAAGGAATGAAAGAACTCCCTTAGCCTAGCCTTGAAAATGGGTTTCTTAGAGTAAAATGTGAAAAATTCAACGTTTGTCTTGATACAGGCTGCCTATTTCCCTCAGAACTGGCTTGTGAAAATTCTTAATTCCGTAGGCACACTTTAGCCCATGCTGGTCTCATTCCATCAGTCAGACAACAAGCATTTCTTATATACTATGTGCTAAGAAAGACAAAAACAAAAGGCAAAAATGGTCTTTTCCTTCAGGAAGCTCATACTCTAATTGGGGGGGGATAACCTGTAAATAACTACATATGAATTATATATGTACAAGATATAGACAAGGTAGATGTTAAGTCCATTCAGAAGGAAGGCACTAGCACACTAGGAAGGACCTCCCGCCAAAGGTGGGATTTGAGCTGGATCTTTTAGGAGACGTGGAGGCAGAGGTGAGAAGGGAGAACATTCCAGCCATTAAAAAGGCATAGAATCTACCGATGGAATGTTATGGGTGAGGAGCAGCAAGAAAGCGGGGGCAGCCAATGGGAGAAAGTAAAGTGTAAGAAGACTGGGAAGGTAGGGAAGAGCCAGATTCTGCTGAACAGAAGATTTTGTTTGCTCCAGGGACTAATAGGGAGCTGCTAGAGTTTATTGAGTGCTAGAGAGGGAGGGTGCTATGGTCAGTCTTGAGCTTTAGGAAAACCACTTTGGCAGATGAGTGGAAAAAGATTGAAATGGGAAGAAATTTGAGACATTTCCCATCAGCTGCATTCCTTGGATTGGCCTACACCATGAACATGCTCCCTGGAAAGCCTATCATTAGGAAACTCATCATCCTTCAGAGATTGCATCACCTTTTGTACTCGTGACTCCTCAGTACCCTCAGCTTCCTCTGCTGTCTGATTGGAGGCTTGGAGGGGGGAGCAAAGAACTTTTTCCAAGGCCTCTGTTTAAACAGGGCTTCCAGGCCAGCAGTTCTTCATTTTCTACCAATTATACTCCTTGGGCTGGACTGTACCATTCCCTACTGAGTCCTTTTTTCTTCCCCAACCTCTCCCTACCTTCACTCACTCCCTCTTTTACAGTTTCCTTTTGTATATTGCCTTCTCCCATTAGACTGTAAGCTCCTTGAGGTCAAGAGTTATGTTTCTTTTTCTTATTTGTGTCCCCAGCACTTAGCACAGTGACTGGCACATAGTAGGTCCTTAATAAATGTTTATTGACTGGCAGGGAAACCAATCAGATTATTGCAATCGTTCAGATGTGCCAAAGGATTCATGCCGAAGTAGTAAGAAGGGGACATAAACAAGAGATGACATCAAGGTAGAAATGACAACAATAGGTTGGGTTTGTAGGGTTAGTGGGTGTGGAGAGTCAAGGATCACACCAAAGTGATTACACCAAGGCTGGGTGACTGAGAGGATGGTAGTGCCCTCCATAAGAATAATAATAGGAGAGTTGGGAAGAAGGGGGAGTGTTTGGGGACAAGATAATAAAGTGTTCTGTTTGGGACATGTTGAGTTTGAGATGACTATAGAACATCAGATCAGAGGTGGCCAAAATGTAATTGATGATGTCATAGGAAAGAGGCTAGATAGATAGATCTGGGAGCCATCTGTGTTGAGGTGATAATTGAGTCAATGGAATATGATCAATCTACCAAGCTAGATAGTAGAGAAGAGGGCCCATGGAACTATGCCCAAAGGGCTATAAAATTGTGCATACCCTTTGACCTAGCAATACCACTTCTAGGTCTGGATTCCAAAGAGATCATAAAAATGAGAAAAGAACTCACATGTACAAAAATATTTATAGCAGCTCTTTGTGGTGGCAAAGAATTCGAAAGTGAGGGGATGCCCATCAACTGGGCAATGGCTGAACAAGTTGTGGTATATGAATGTAATGGAATACTATTGTGCTATAAGAAATAATGAACAGGCAGACTTCAAAAAAAAAAAACCTGGAAAGACTTAGAAGAACTGATGCAGAGTGAAATGAGCAGAACCAGGAGAACATTGCACACTAGTAACAGACACATTATGGGATGACTGACTTTGATAGACTTGGCTCTTTTCAGCAGTGCAAGAATCTAAGACAACTCCAAAAGACTCATGATGGAAATTGCTATCCATACCCAGAGAAAGAAATATGGAGTCTGAAGGCAGATGGAAGCATACTATTTGCTCTCCTTTTCCTTTGTTTTGTTTTATTGCTTCATTCTTGTGGTTCCTCCCATGAGTTCTAATCATTTTTTCCTATCATGACTATGCTTAACATGAATGTATATGTAGAGCCTATATCAAATTGTACACTGTCTTGAGGGTGGGGAATAAATGGGAGGGGGAGAAAATTTAAAACTCAAAATCTTATGGAAGTAAATGTTGAAAACTAAAAATAAATAAATTAAGTATCAAAAAAGAAGAAAAAGAAGAGGGCCTAGAAGTCAGTTAGTAGGTGTGACATGAATGAAGATCCAGCAAAAGATCTCCCTAGCAGAAACTGGTCTGCATACTCACTGGAGTAACTTATCCTTTGAGTCCTTACTCATAGTCGAGTACTGTAAAGGAGGTATATTTCTCCCACTCACATGTTCAGAGGGACCTGCATACATCCTTACCTTAATCTCACTGCAAGACCCATCACCTGCTTCTCCCTTCTCTGTATTCTGGGGACTAGGGAAGACCTCTTAGAGATACATGATGGGAGGGGATCTGAAGGAATATTCCCTAAAGAGACTTTACTTTGTCCCTTGGCCTCCATTTTCTATTTGTTGGCAGTATTAGTCTTCAGAGGCAGCTCTGTGGAACTTGGTTTCATAGAGAGCAAAAATAGGTGGGAGAATGGAGGCAGGCATGATGAATCCCTTGGAATAATAGCATTTATGAGCTTTGCAGTTTCTAAGAGTGTACTGAGAAAAGAGGGGAAGCAGGAAAGGGGAAGGGAAAATAATCTGTCTGCTATTTTGCTTACTCTGTGTGAAAAGTCTTTTTTTTTAAATAAATATATACATAGATATATAACATGTATACTTGTTTTTTCTTTTTAAAGAGATCTCATTTTAGGGATGTGGTCTAAGCAATATTCGAAGGTGCCCTTAAATTTATAATCATCAAGGTGTATACACATATATTATTTCATTTACTCTCTTAAATTTATAATCATCAAGGTGTATACACATATATTATTTCATTTACTCTCTTTAGAAACACTGCAAAGGCAAATATGGCAGGAATTTCTCTCTCCCCTATTTTATAGGTAACAGTAAAGTCCATCTTTGTTAAGTCTAGAGTCATTTAGGTTGTTAATGACAGATTCGGTGCTAAAACCCCTATGTCCTGACTTTCCCTCCACCAGTCCTTCTAGTGTGCCACATCTGAATAGTACCCAGCTCCTATGCAATGCCCATTCTCCCTGTGCTTCCCTGTTCTTCCTTCTCTTTGCTCTTTTCTCATTTATGTGTTTCCTGGGGGTTACCCTTTCTTCCCTATACCCCAAGCCCCAAGGTGTAAGCTTGTTCTTTCAGATTCCTTATGCAGGTGTGCCTGGAGCAGTGGACAGGCAAAACAGACTCCCTTGATCATCTGAAAGGAAGTTAGCTAAATGTCCCTATCTTGATTAATTTCAGGATCGCCTCTTTTTCGTCATGGAATATGTAAATGGAGGAGACCTGATGTTTCAAATTCAACGTTCCCGCAAATTTGACGAACCTCGGTCCCGATTCTATGCTGCAGAGGTCACATCGGCCCTCATGTTCCTTCACCAACATGGCGTCATCTACAGGTTAGCGTCTTCTCCTTTCTTTGACTTTTCAAAAGTAAAAACATAATGAAATCTCTGGACAATTGGACTGATTTTGGCTTCTGTCCCACTGGTGTCTTAGCAACCAGCTTTAGATTAGTTGTTTGCTCCAATTTGCTTACATAGAAGGGTTTTTTTTTTTGGCTGTTTATCATTGTAAATGTTAACATTTGAATGGTCCCTGGAGCCTTGTCCAAATGTGTGTGCCAGTTTTGTATTAAAGTACAAGCCAGGTATTTGAAAGGGTTTGGCCCAAAGTGACCTTGGGGTGACCTTCCCCTTCCCCTTTCAGCCCAGCCGTAATCTCTTCACTTTTCCCTTCAATGCCATAGATTTCCTCTGCTTCCCAACCTTTTGCCACTTCCTGAGTTTGCTTGTCTTAGCTGTCTCCAGCAGATAGGATCGGGAAAGGAGGAGTCACAAGGGGTTCTCAGTTTGTGATGTAGAGGGGAGGATGAGTTGAAGGCACCCAACAGGAAGAGGCTCTTTGAAGACCATTTAGCCTGGCTTCTTGCTCCCCTGAATCTCCCTTCCAAGGAAACACACACACACACACACACACACACACACACACACACACACACACACAATCACTCCCTTTCCAGTAAGGAAGAAGGCAAATTTACGCAGGCTGCTCTATGAGGTCAGGAATTCTGGGAGGAACAACTACTTATTATTAGAAACAGGGACATTAAAGGTCCTCGAGGGATTTTTTTCTTCAGCGACTGTCAACTGTTGCATTTAGTTAGTTTCTCTCTCCTACTTTTTTCTCCTTTTCTTAAATTCAAGTCAAAGGATTTATTGCTGTTGGCCATAAACCCTCAGAGAAAGGAGTTGCAGCCTTGGTTGAGTCCACGTAGGTCCCATCTGGTTTGACTCAAATCCCAAGCCTCAATCAATCAAGTATTGATTGAATCACCTTGTATGGTCAAAGCACTATGGGGACACAGGATGTGGAAAAACTACTAGCAAACAAGAGAGGATGGGATCCCTGCTAATTATGCTGTCAGACACAAAGAGGTGTGTGCGGGGCACAATTTCTGCCGTTGAGAATTCAACTGTCTAGTTGAGGACCCAGGACATGAAAAGACAATTAAAAATGCAAGACAATATATGACAAGAGCTAGATAAATGGTCAGACTATGAGTTCAAGGGGACATCAGCAAAAAGATAAACCATTTTGGCTTGGAATAATCAAAGAAAGCTTCACAGAGGAGACCTTTCCAGGTTGTTTTTGAAGGGTGGATGGATCCTCTAGGGCATGGTACAGAAGAGTAGAGTAAGACTAGGAGACATGCCAGACCCATGGGGAAATAATGAAAGGAAAATTGAACAATCAGGATAAGTGTAGCTCATGAAGGAATGGTGAAGACATGGGCCTAGGCAAATAGCAGCAAATAGAAATAGAACTACAGGTGATTTTCCCTTTGTACATTATTTTCCACATACTAATATTAATAATAATTAAAGAGTCAAGGTAGCATAGTGGATAGAGAGCAGGCCTAGAAGCCAGGTAGAATTCTGCCTCTGACAAGTACTGTCTGTGTGACACCAGACAAGTCTCCTTAGGCCTCTCAAGGCTCTAGGCAATTCTTTAAAACTATAAATTTCACAGAAGGTGCCTGTCTGAATTGGTGGAGGGAGTTTCCTCATCTGAGAGTTCCCTACACCAATGAAATCACAGGGCTAGTCCCTTTCTCTATTAATAACAATAACAATAATAATGATAATGATGATGATAGTTGGTATTCTTATAATGCTCATTCATATAATGACAATAATAGTTCACATTTCTAGAGTATTTGAATTTTTGCAAAGCCTGTCATATACATTATCTCACACAATATACAATGAAACTCAGCTCAGTTCCCATTGATCAAAACAACCAAAAGGTAAGCAGATGGGATCTCTTCGAGGCAAGGTGGCATAATGGAAAGAGCACTGGATTTAGAACCAGGTAATCTGAGTTTAAATCCCATCCTTGCCACTTAGGACCTGTACAACCTTGGGAATGTTACTGAATTTCTGTGGGCCTCAGTTTCCCCATCTATAAAATGAGGTGTTTGGACTAGGTGGTCTCTGAGATCCCTTTCTACTCTCAATCTATGATCCTAGGAATGTGGACCATTTTCCACCATTCCAATCTGAGATACTGACATCTTCTCTGGAGTTGCACTTGAAAGGTTCAATGCATGCACCTTGAATGCTCAAAAACATTCCTTGACTCTCCATAATCTATTAAATAAGATCCAAATCCTTTGTTTGAACTTAAAGGCTTGCCACAGTTTTGTCCTACCACACCTTATATCCCACTGCTCCCCTAGATGAGTTCTCTTGGTTTACTCAATGGACCCTCATTCCACCTTATGCATTCCTCTTTTGTGCTCTTTGTTTATACTGTTTCCCCATCCCATCAAAAATGTCCTCCATGACTCACCCCTGAGCCTGATCAAGATCTGCTCATCCTTCAAGGTTTAACACAAATTTCCTCTCCATGAAGCTACAGTCTATAGGTCAGGCCCTCTCCTCTCAACTCCTGTACTATTTATCTTTTCTATTAATTTGTTACTTAGCATATGCTTCCTTGTAGTTTCTGTTATCTTTGTATGTATGTGAAAAGTCTCATCAACTGGATTTTAAATTCTTGAAAGCATGTACAGTTGAGAAATTTCCCCAACAGATGTGTTTAAACACACACACACACACACACACACACACACACACACACACACATATCCTTACACATGTTGGTTCCCTCACCCCAACCCTATCCCCTCAGGTCCTTCATTCCTCCTATACATGTGAGCTTTTGATTATAAGCCTATAAGGAGATGGATTCTATGCCTTGTGGATTAACCAGGTCCACAGCCTCCCTACTGCCCGCCTGGGTGCCAAGCTGCCGGCAGAAGGGCCTGAACCACAAAGGGGACAGGGGGATTAAGTGGGTGAATGTGGATCACTGCCTATGTCTCTCTGACTATTCCAAAACTAAAAATGGATTAGTTTGAAATCAGCCACTGTGTTGTATTACCTAAGTCTCCCCTCCCTTCCTCTGGTAGGGGTGTTTGACAGTCTAGCAGGGCCAGGGGTTGAAGGATTAGCTTCAGGACTAAAACTGAAGCTTAATTATCCAACCCTGCCTACTGGAATTTATATACAAAGTAATTAGCAGTTAAATTGCCAATCTCTGAGAACCAAAAGAAGAGGTCACTTTTCAGGCCAGTTGCTTACAGTTGAAAGGAGACCCAAAGTGATAAACAAAGTGACCCCACCTTTTTCCTTGGGTGGGTTTCCAGTACAGCCTGTGTCCCATGTGCTGTTTCATATATAAACACAGTCTCGATTAGGGTAACTCATCTTTCTCCTCTTCTCCCCTCCCCTCCAGTTTCTTCCCCCTCCTTTCCCTCTCCTTTTTCCTTTCCCTCCCATGTTTCTCCAGCTTTCTTGCCCCCTTTTCTGTCCTGTTAATTTGCTGGGTTCTGGTTTGGGATTATGTGGATCCCTTTTTACTCACTGTCCCACTAATGATGGCTGGTTTTCCTTTTTCTACACACACACACACACACACAGTTCTTGGCTCCCTGGGTTAGTGACATGAGAGACAGAATACATATTTCAGTTCAAAGTTCAGAGAGAAGGCCCAAGACTTCCAACGGCTGCCATTTTGAGACACTTTTTGGAACTAAGAGGACTGAGCATCAAAGTTGTCATGGGGACAATTGGTTCATGTAGTGAGCAGGGGCAAATGGGGAAGAATGCAGGAGACATGAAAATACCAAAAAATAAGCATAAATCTTGGCAAGACCAGCATTTCACATTGTGTTCCCTTGGCTTCCAGATATTTTTTCAGTCTCTCTCTCTCTCTCTCTCTCTCTCTCTCTCTCTCTCTCTCTCTCTCTCTCTCTCTCTCTGCAGGTTGTTTCAATTTCCTGTCAATAGTGGCAAAAGCCTCTAAGTGTCTTTATTGGGCACAGATAAAATTCAGTACCTTGGGATCATAGGGGTTAGAGCTAAACCTTTCACTGTACAGATGAGGAAGCTGAGGCCTGGGGAAAAAAGCAGCTTGTCCAAGGTCACAAAGGTAAATGAGTAACAGAAAGAGCATGGAGCTTGGAGTCAGAAGACCTGGGTTTCAATCCCAGCTTTGATACTTGCTAGCTTTGTGAATTTCAGCAGCTTACTTCTCTACTCTCGATCTCAGTTTCCTCATCTACAGGGAATAGACTAGGTGACCTTGAAGGTCCTCACCAGCCCCAAATCCTACAAGTTGTTCTTCTAACTCCATATCTTCCATATTGTCCTCTTTCCACACTGTAAGGACATGGATGCTCATACCCGTGTAGACATAACACTCACTCTTGTACATAGACATCTGGACAGATACATGTTCATGTATGTGTGCCCACCGAAATGTGAAGGTTTTCAGGGTAGCTCTGGTAGAGGCAGGCATGCCATACCATACCATACCATACCATACCATACCATACCATACCATACCATACCACACCATGTCATACTATGTGACATTGTACCATGTCATGCCATACCAAAGCATGCCATTTCATACTATACTATGCTATACCAGTCTTTCTCAAGTTTGGGTCAAAGGGTGGCACCAAAGCTCCCCAGATAGGTCTGCACATAACACAAATCTCAGAGCCCTTTACAGATGTATATTTCAAAAGCTGTGTCCTCTCCTGAGTAGGATAAGCGGAGACCAAGAGGAGGAACTCAGGGATTTCTCCTGAGGGAGTTGGGACAGAATAAAAACCTTAGTAGAGCTGTCTAGCCTATATGTTTCCAGAAAATGGCATCTCTACTATGGTCTTTTATAATACAGCAGGCAAGTAATTTTCTCTTTGCAGCCTCGTCATACACTCACCATCTTCCCCTCTTTGACAATCCAGCCAAGCTGGCCTTCTCTTTGTTTCTCACAACATCCCATCCCCCACCTCCATGCTTTGCCTGCTCACCACCATATT